AGTATCTGCCCTTCTGTCAAACTCTCATTTTCACGGCTTTGGGTAAAGGCAGCTAAAGGTAATAAGTCTTGCTGCTCCCCTGCAATTACCCCCTTTCCTACGCCAGGGTGGAAGGCAGAAACAGCCCTTATCGAGAGACACCTGCCATTTCTCTGAAAAATCCCACACAACAGAGAAAGCAAAACCCAGATCACATTCAAGTTCCCATTTATACACACATTTTTAGATTTTAAGAGTCTGGGGAACTTACTTGAATGAGAAATCAAAGTTCAGCTCTATTCTTTTTTCCACTTTCTTTCCGTATTTGCTTGTTGTGAGTGTTCGCAGAAATTGTTTTGCTCAGAAGTAGTTTCAGGACTGCCACTGCTAGTTTGCCTGGATAAAACTATGTCTCAGGAGGGGAGCAAGAGCTGCTGGGCTGCTTTCCCCATTGTGACTCATTCCGAGGTCGCCCCATCACTCTCTGCCTGCAGCCACTTCTCACCTGCTTCTGCCAGTGGAGGAGGAAACTCTACTGCCCATGTCCTCGAAGGGTTTTTCCAAGGACTCAACTATCTTCAGACATTTTTCTCCTTTCATTTTGCAAAAAGAAAAATCAAAAAGGAGGCTGGAGGTAGAAAAACGCTTGATTACACAGTTAGTTGAGTGCTGTCCAGACTCTTTGCCAACACCCCTATCTGGGGCACCATAAAGTGATTTAACTGCACCCTACTCTACTAAAATTATGCCTGTACAAACGTGACCTAACTTTGGTATCAATGGCTTTACTCTGTGAAGACAGACAACTGACACTTGCAATAAGAAACATAATTTTTTCCTGGGTTATATGAAATTACTAAGGTGTTTGGAAACACCAGCCTACTGACATCTTGTAGTCTGAAAATACAACTAGACAAACAGAGCACTTTAAATACGTAACGCATTTCCACATCCATTGATGGCACGCAGTGGTAACAGGGTAAAACTCTGAGCTAGGTTATGTTATAACCTGTTATGAATGACAGCAGCTCAGAACGGATAGTCCAAGTGTGCATGTTAAATCTGCACTACTAAATTCTATTAACTATTCTGAATGAATAAAATCAGTTTTTCTATCCCCTCTTCCTGTTTCATTCACTCACTCCCCTTGCTCACCAATAACAGCTAATCCAATTATCATCACGTACATCCCAGAATCTCTCTACTACGCGCTAACATCTCATTCAAATCCTCTTGGGTATTTTGCCTGTGAGAACTGGACTGAGGAGAGGGGGCAGAGCTCTGGCCAGGGCAGAGCCGCTCTTCGAGGACTGCTGGCTTCTGCCGCAGCAGCCTGGACAACAGCCGAATCCCCTTCCTCATCCTTCTGCTCCTGTGAGACGTCAGCTGGGCTCGTGGATGTCCCCCAGAAGAGAGTTAATCGTTACTACAGCCTGTAACACAAGCCTAAATGTTAAAGGACATGCCTCTTTTCACCGCGGTTTCAAGAACCCATGTCAGGGTTCACATGCTAAGGCTTTTATATGTCAACATTTCAAGCTGAAAAGCTGCTAGATTTATTTCCGACTTGACAAATTAGAAGTTGCCACACTTAATCAGGCCCCTGGGAAATATAACCGGAGCTGCAGCCACAAGCATCTTCTTCAGGAGATAGACAAAGACCCCTAAGGTTTCACTCTAATCCTAAAAAAGGGCAATTAAAGCTTCAAGGTAGCTTTACATATACTTCCAAAACATTGTCGGCATTTGCTATCATGACCTGGACAGACTTGTTCCCCATATAATGCTCTAATACTATTTTAAGTCTTATTAATTTCTTGACCTTAAAATGTCTTGAATTTCCTCCAGTTTCCCTGAGAGTCATCATGTTCCTCCAGTGCAAGAAGAGGTAGAAAAGTTCCCAGTGAACTTATTCTCCATCATACACATCACGTATAACATGAGCGTAATGAACAAAACAGTAAGATGCTTATAAGAATGAAATGGACATATTTAACCACCCTTCCTAACAGTAACAGAAAAAAAATGGGAAAACGAACATTAGAACGGGAAAAAACTTCTGTACACTAAAAAAGACAGCAAAAAAGGAAATGCGATCACTGTTATGCCTTTTCTCTTCCATGCAAGACCCATCACCTCGTTTTGGGACTGCAGGCTTTGTGGGCCACCTATCCTGCTTTCCCATGTATTTACACAGCATCTCACAGGACAAAGCCATAGATATTAAGAAAACAAATTTTGCTGCATGGTATATCCACTCTGTTAGCGTTTTTAAGACAATTAACTTTATGCATGTTGAAATTACTTCACAACCACAGCCTTTTGTTCAATAAAAAATAACTGTCATAATTTAGGCACTCATAGCTTAGTTTAGTAATTACAAAAACACCTGGGTTGCATTTTTTCTCATACCCCCCAAATGACTGCATGGAAATATTAATAGCAAAAAATATAACCAACAAGGCAAATTTATTTGAAAATTGCATGAAATTACCTCTACTTTCACTCTAAACTGTATTTTCCACGTAGTTTGCCTAGTGCTGCCTTCTAATTTTCTTAAGACCTTGAGGCTACTTTTTACCTGTGAATTGTTCCAAACTAGGTCTCATATTGAGGAGATATAGAGCACATGGTGACATGTTTTGAAAAGAGTTAGGAAAATCATGTCTTGGCTGGACTGCATGACGGGTACCATCTGCAGGGCTAAACGTGGATCATGGATGCAGAACAGCTCCTATGCTGCCCTTCTCAGGGGAGCTGTGCCAGAGCAAACACCTGGGCAAAAGAGACAGGTTACTGCTTCACACTTCTTTCTTAAGGTGGAAAGTGAGGGAAGGTCTCTCATATGTGTCATTAACTAAGAAGCTCTACACGGAGCAGGGCATCGTACATTTTCCTGCACAGTAACTTGTCCGGTAACTCCTTGACACCAACCTGATTCTAGTCCAGTTGCTCACAGCTCTTTAAAAGAAAAAAATACTCGTGCGCAACTCCTAATGATTACAAAATTGCCTGTCTTCATTTTTTCAGAACTAAGGCCTTTTATTGGATTTTGCATCACCATTCAATTTTTGGAATAACTACATGTATTGAGCCATGATGCCTTCTCGACTGCGATATCTCAGCAGTTTACAAGGTTTGAACTAAACACACTAAACACTGGAGAAATATTACTGCTGATGATGCAATAGCTCCATCTTCTGGAATAAAAGTTATTTTCTTGACAACCATCTTCAAATATCCAACATAGATCTATATGCAAAACTTTCTACTTCAAAACCTAACCTGAATATTTTTACTAATGGAAGGTGAATATTGGGTGGAGAGTAGGAGGGATTCACGATAACGCGGTTTCTGATAAACTTAAGGGAGTATTCACTCCCTGGTGACACTGAAAACGTATATCAGTCCTTCAGCATGCCATATTAAAGACTGACCTTATTTAAGGAATAGCCATAATCTGATTTTGAGAACAATTTAAACTCGGTTTAAGCTAAAACCTTCAACACACGCACTTAATTTTAGTCCTGATTTAGGATACTCTAACCTTCATGTTAAAAGTTTGTAGTTAAGCACTGTCCTAAACAGGGAGAAACTGAAGCCCACGCTGAAGTACTTGAAGTCTGAACTAGAGAGCAGGGGATATGATAGATCCTTACTGCTATTTATCAAAACAGTTAAATGTATGTTTAAATGAAATATTTCAAGCTAAGCACATACAGCATTTTGGACAGGTAAATAGTACAGATGACTCCTCTGCTTAAAATTTAACATACAGTCAGTTCCTGTGTTCAACTAGAGAGCTCCCAGAAAACTCTGTGATTGTAATTCCTGATTTTATCATCGCTTTTATATGGGCACATACACGAGCACAACTCTATGGCTGTTGCTTGAAAACATAAGCATTAATGAACTAAGTTCCTGTGTACTCTCACAGGTAACTTATAAAAGGAAAAGAGCATTGAAGCTGCTCAGTGATCTACTGACTGTTGTTGTGTGATATTTCTCAACTGCCCAGGAGGGATAAAGCCACCAGAATAAATGAAAAGTTAAACATGTACATACCCACCTACTTTTGAAATAGTGATACAGCCAAAATTAATACAAACTCATGGACACACAAGAATAGTAGAAATTTAAATAAGCTTGCTTAATAAAACAAAGCAACTGAAGCTTTATTTTTCTATATAGAAATATGACTCCCCATGTGCATTCTTTTAAGCTAAGGAAAATGAAAGTCATACAGCCCTTGCAAGAAATGAATCCTAAGGTGGTAATATATATATATGTGTGTGTGTATGTGTGTGTGTGTATATTTACACTTATCTATGTATGTATAGATATACATACACACATACATACACACAGAATGTTTCCCTTTAATGGATGATTCCTCTCAACAGATACTTAAAAGCATTCAGGAAAGCCAAACTTACGACTACTTTATAGCAGAATATTCTACCATTTGAGTACAATAGGAGAATCATTGCATGAACCACCAAATTGCTCACATTAATTCAACAAGAGCAAGTAACAAAACTTAAGCAGCTAAACATATATCTGGAAATCAGACTGCTTCTGCAAAATAAGCACAATGAAAGGATATAGAAGGAGTTTTCTTAGAAAAAATAATCTTTCAACAACTTTCTGCAACATCATGTGTCATATGGCTTTTGAATGGAGGCATTAGTTAAAAGAATTTTCCCACCCATAGTCAAGTATTAACTATATTTTAGTACACCAATGAAAGGACAAAAAAAGTAAAAAATTTAGTATACTGTATTACTTTATGTAACACAGCATTAAAATACCTTTCACTAAGGCTACAGAGGACAGATTTACAGTAATATGAGGTACCAGCATTTATGGTGAAAAAAGTAAAGATGGAAAAGAATTATATAGCATTGTCATCAGACATTTCTTTTTACTTTTTTCTTTTTTTTCTTTCTTTCTTTTTTTTTTTTTTTAGATATAGATATAGATATTTTTATTTGTAGGGGCAATTGAGAGAGAGTCACAAATAAGGAAAGGACACTAAGGTTTTAATAAGGGCAACAAAAAATGTTTTCACCAGATAGATTCACATTACAGTACACCAATATTGACAGCATTCTCTTTTGTCTATTTTTGGTACATAAGATGGAATCTCTCTACACAACCTTATAAGGCTTCAGTAACTAAAAAGTAAAAAACCTATTAGTTTACAATTTATTTAAAAATTCTGAAAGACACAGCAAGTTCTAAACTTTAGTAGTGCTACCCATACACAACCATCCGGTTTAAGAACCCATTAAAAGAGCCACCTTTCAAGGGAGCTTGCAACAGCAGAGTTGTGCAATATGGATGTTTCTTACTACAAGAAAAAAAATTACACATGGCACATTCTCATTCATATTTTGCAATGTAAAAAGTTACAAACATACCTAATCAAATAAATAATAATAAAAAAAAAGAATCTGAAGTGTGTTTGTTAAGTATCCTAAAACCACTATGCAGAATAATGGAAACTTTCACTCACAGACTATTTACATGGTAATACCCAGGTGAGGGTACACACTGCTACAAAACTCATAAAACAAAGGGTAAACTTGAAATGTTTTCCATAATAAAGGTCTAGCAGCATGACTATATCTAATGCTGTTTGTTTTCTTGACTGTTTTTGGAAGATGTTTTAATCTATGTCTTCATCCAGTTCGTAATTGTCTTTATCATAAATATCTTTTACTAAAAGAACCCGTACGAGCATATTTTCCAAAGTGTTGCGGTCCAGTGACACGGAAGTATACCAGATAGGGCTGTCCGAGGAGACTGAACAGTCCGGCTGCAGATAGAACAAGTCCATTCTCTGATTCAGATTCTGTGGACTAAAAGGAGGAGAAAAAAAAAAAAGTCAGAAAAATTAAGTCTCATAGGACAGATTACTATGTTGTCATTTCTAACACCCTGGGTAAGCAAAACTCTAATTGTCCTTAGAAAAGTCAGAAACGAAAATTATTGTGGAGAAACGCTGCCTTGAAAGAGCGGTGCCGGGGCAGAGTCAAGGCACAGCTAGCCCCACGTCCTGGCTCAGGACAGCTGAGAGCGG